CCCGCCGCGCAGCATCCTCCTCGGGCACGAAGTTTGGGGGGCGGGAGGTGGCGGGCGAGTGGCCTCGGGGGAGATGGGGGCGCTCAGGGGGGCGGCGGGCGGCAGCGCCGGGGCATAGTCCCCCGGCCCCCGCCGCTGCCGCTGCCCCCAACTTTTCCCCGGCACCGCTCTCCTCCCCTCTGCTCCTGCGGGAGGAGGAGGAGGAGGAAGAGGAGGAGGAGAAGGAGGGCGAGAGCACCGCGGCGGGGACCCCCCTTCTGCCCGCAGCCGGGGCTCCCGGGGCACGGCGGACCCTGCGCGGCTCTCGGCGCCGGCCGGCTCTGCCTGCGGGAGCGGGGGATGCGTTGGTCGCCCTTATCTAGAAAGCCCCGAGGCGCTCCGCTCGCCCCCCCCCCACCCTAAGGAGGGGTGTGGAGGGGGGGGGGGCTGCCCTTATTTAAAGATGATTATGTCCAATCTAATAAACCCCGAGCGGAGCATCGCCCTCCCTTCCCTCCGCCCTCCCGGGCGCTGCCCAGGATGCTGGCGGGGAGGGGATGCGGAGGGGACTCAATGCCCGGCGGGCGTTGGGTCCCCTCCGCTTCCCCTCCTCCCCGCCGGCGTTTTGGGACAGCACCTGTGCTGTCCCTGCCGGTGTTTTCTCCTGTTGTAGCTCCCACCTCGCCTACATCCTCCATCTCCATCACCTAGAGGGGAAGAAAGGAAGGTGAAAGAAGGGGATACCCTCCCTCAGCCCTCCCCCCGGCGAGGAGAGAGGTGGTCTTGGGCTCAGGGTCCCTCCTCAGGTGGAGATTTTTCTGCTTTTTCTCTCTTTTATTATTTTTTTCCTTTCCCAAACAATGATCCCATCTGTTTGACACGTGCAGAAAGGTGGGCTGGAGGTGCCTTATCTGAGCAAGCCACATCCAAAAGCCAAAAAAACCCTTCTATGAATGCACCAAGGGAGGGGGCAGCAGTGTGAGAAAGCATCTCCCACCTCCCTGTCAGAGGGTACGGCACCGACGCTGCTGGGGAGAGCTTCTCAAAGTACCTGGGTGAGAAAACAAGCCCCCGAAGTTTCCTCTTGGTTCCCAAGACTCCCTCGCAGCATGGGAGACTAGGAAAACTTCAGCAAGGAGATCCAGCGAGAAGAGAACTTTTTTTTATTCTTTCTTTAAATTATTATTGTTTTATATATTATTTTTTTTCGCTCCCAAACACTATCTGTGGCGGTCAGTCTGAAGCAGGGTTGCCAGCGAAAGCTGGGAGGCCCCTTCCAGGGTGCAGGCTTTCAAACCAGCGAGGCAGGAGGGAAGGGATTTAAGAACAAACGGCAGGAGCTGGCTGTGTGGGGTTGGGGTCAGGGGTTTTTTTGTCTTCTCAAGGTGGGAGGGTGATGGGAGGAGGTGGGGGGGGGCCTGATGCTCTTAGTGGGGGGAGATAGAAAAATAGAGTGATGGAAAAAGTTGAGGGTTAGGAGGGGTGAGCACAGTGCTTCTCTAGCCCCTCAGGAAGGAGGTGGGTGTGAGCAACCAGAGAGGTGAGGGCACGGCAGGGCTGGGCTGGCAGTGTGTGGAGAGGAAGGGAGGACACGCCGGGAGCGAACAAGGCCAGGCAGAGCAGGGATGGCTCATGCAAAGTTGTTCGAGCAGCTCCCAAGGACATTTGGGGCGTGAACCACATCCAAGCACAACACCAACACCCATCGCTCACGGGGAGGTGGTGAGAAGAGGTCTGCAGCTCTCCTGCCTTCTCCGACTGCACCGGTGCCTATCCAGGGGCAGTGGGGGGATAGAGACAACCCAGCTCACAGCTTGGCACTGGCAAGGTGGCCCAGCAAGGGTTGTCCTGGGGCCAACACCAGCAAGAGCTGCTCACAGTGCGTATTCATTCAGGAATGAAACAAGCTCCTGATAGCCCTGTCTACCAGGGCCTGATAAGAGAGGATCCCACGGGATGGCTAATTTTGAATGGTGGTGGCCCTATTAAGCGGTTATTAATCATCTTGTCACACAACAGCCTGCCCCAGGTACTCCAGAGAAGCAAGGCCACAAGACCCTCAGCAGTGTAGGCAGCCATCCGAGCAGTTCAGCAGCTCTGCCTCCTCAGGGACAGCCTGACTGGGATGAATCCAACATCAGCGCAATAAAACCCTCCAAAAATGCACCCAGGCAAGGACTCTATATATAGGCTCTGGCCTGGGCTAGGCCACTCTCTTGACAAAATGACACCCTCCAACAAGCGGCTCTGATGTTTGCAGGGTTGGGATGCAGCAGGAGCTGCAAAGCCCACCGAGGAGCCCACGTTTTGGGAGTGAAGATGGGTGACAGCAGCAGAAGGCTCCCTGCCACATGAAGCCCCTGGTTTCTGCCTGCCCAAGACTGAATCTGGATTTAGGAACCACTGGAGCAGGCAGCTGAGATCATGAATCATTACCCTGCACTGGCTCCAGCGCACTCTCCATCCCCACCCAGGCAAGTTCCCCTGGCAGCCTCTGCCAAGGTGGCACTTGCAGGAGAATTGTGAGGGTGAGGAAAGCAGGACCATGAGGGCATCTCACTGGGTTGGCTCAGCATCTGGGGAATCCCAGCACCACTGGGGGCTACAGAGTAAATCCTGTAATTTGGGTAGTTTTTCTTTGCTTTTCAAAAAGAAAAAAAAAAAAAAAGGCAATTAACTTGCCCCGTGTGGTGATTTTGCTGCCTGTGAAGCAAAGACCAGTCCTGTGGATAAGGCAGGGGATTCCAGGATGGCAAAGCAGTGGCAATGAGCCCTCAGCATGTTTTCTGCCTCTCAGGAAAGCAGGGTGGGCATCTGTTAGAGATCCCAGGTCAGAGCCAGGCTGTCTTGGCTGAGGAATGCAACAGCCCTGCATCTTCCAGGGATCCCTACGTGCAGCATCTGGGTGGAGGTGCTCCTCCCAGGCAGAGTCTAGCTGCAGTTCAAATCTACTGATGATGCTCAAGAGCAAGAGAAAGGATGCTGGGTCGGAGGAAGGAGGAGGGCAGAGTGGTGTCAGCGGGTAGGTTTGGCTGGATATTCCTCATCCCTTCCCCATGTGTTGTCCTTCCTGCAACATCCCTGCTATTTGGACCCTCTGGGCTGTCAGTCCCTGCAGACAGGGATATTTTTGGGGTTGGAATTGAATGAGACAGGTTGCCAGTACTGGACAGGGGCAGAGGGCCAGGAGCAGAGGGAAGGAAGCAGAGGGAAGGGGGTGGCCCCATCAAAGTGAGATGTTGAGTGGGGGCTCTGGGGTGACCCCAGCACAGAAGTGGGGTTCCCAGTGCCAGGTGAGCCCACACTGGGGAAAGGTGAAGAGCAGCTCTGGGGAGCACTATAGGGGGATTGGACAAGATAACCTTTAAAGGTCCCTTCCAACCCAAACTATTCTATGATTCTAGGATTTTAGCTGGAGCAGAGCTTTTCCCCACGCCTGTCAAAAGCCATCAACAAAAGCCTTCCTCTCTCTCCACTCCTCCTCGGGAAACCACCAGCGATCTTGACATGGGAATAAAGGCTCTGGGAGAATCCAGCTTTTTTGTTCGTGGCCAGGCAGCCAAATCCCGCAAGCCCGAGACAGCAAGCCTCAGCAATCAAAGCCACGAGCAACAGCCGACCCCGCTCAAGGGCACAGCCCCAGCCCTCCCTCCTCTCCCTCCCCAGTCCTCCTGCTTTTCCCAAGCAGATTAGGAGCCTGTTCAAACGCTCAGGACCCCCGGAGGTCAGAGACGCTGGCCTCCTGCACCAGAGGTTTGCTTGGGAACTCGCTGAGTTTCCTGCTCCTGGTAGGTCTGGAGATAAGCCCTGGTGTGCGGCCGCTGTCGGTGCCAGCGCCAGCAGGAGTCCACAGTTGCACACCGAAAATGCAGCAGCAAAAGCTCCAGAGCCATGGAATCACAGAACCACAGAATGATTTGTGTTGGAAGAGTCCTTAAAGATCGTTTAGTTCCACCCCCCCTGCCATGGGCAGGGACATCTTCAACTAGCCCAAGTTGCTCCAAGCCCTGTCCAACCTGGCCTTGGACGCTTCCAGGGATGGGGCAGCCACAGCTTCTCTGGGCAACCTGTGCCAGTGCCTCACCACCCTCACAGGGAAGAATTTCTTCCTAATACCTGACCTAAACCTATTATCTTGCAATTTAAAGCCATCCCCCCTTGTCCTATCACTACCCACCCCTGTCAAAAGCTCTGTCCCTTGTGTGTTTGTGCCTTGCAGCTGAGCACATCTTGTAGGGGATGAGAGACGATCAGGGAGACCTCCCAGAGGCACTCCCCTGGATTCTCCAAGGCCTAATAGGAAGGCTGAGCTCCCCCCACCCCAAAGCACCCAGTAGGGTTTCCCTGTGCTGCTCAGTCTCACAAGTTTGGTGACAACAGTTTCTCTGCTGCATTCAGCTGTACCAGCCTCCACGTACACAACCTCAGCTCCTCTGGCAGTGGAGACAAGGAAGGAATTTTAAGTAACAGTGAAGAGCATCCAGCCAAGGATATGTCTGACCCATCATCCTCATACCTCACAGCTGCCTCCTCGCCTGTGCTCGGAGACACACAGCCTGCAGACAGCAGGTGGCACCCCTAGGGCAGCAGGGATGCAGGAAGCCCATGGAGGAAGCCAAGTAGCCAGGCACTGATCAGGGCTTCAACTGAGATGCTTTGGAGCCGGTTTGGTGCATCACCATCAGATGCGGCAATTTCGGAGCAGCCTTGGATGTCACACTAGAGCCTGGAGCTAGAGCAGAGCTGTGCTTTGAATGGTTCTTGCAAGCCTCCAGTAAAAACCATTGGCTTCCAGCTGGGAGGTGAGGAAGATGCAGGTGCTCAGCAGCTCACTCATTTCTCTGCATAGGGAAGACATTCCATACACAGCAGCCTCCAAGGGTCTTCCGGCATCCCGAAGTTTTACACTTCACCAAGAACTTGCAGGTGCTAAATTAAGACCATCTAGAGAACAGGGCATGACCTTTGCCAGATGGGGTGCCTCAGATACTGAAAATTATTCCAACTGCTGAAAAAAGGCAGGGACTTATCTGCCTTTACGTAATGTAGCTCTTCCAGCAGCCACAGAGGAAAAGCACACATGAAAAAGCAGGAGAGGAAATGGAATCAGCTTCTCACTTCCATTCTGCCACTGTCGTTGGGGAGTTTCAGCCCCATTAAGTCAGGATTGTTCAAGTGCAGCTCCATATCCCAGCTGGATGGGAAGCATATGCCAAGGGAGAGGCACGATGCCACACAGCTCCTGTGTCAGCAGCAGAGGCACGATCCCAAAGATGGGATGTGAGCTCTGCAGGCACCCACAGGAGGGGTATATTGGTACAAACACAGCAGGAACCAGCTCAGGCTTCCAAAATCCCACCCCAGCAGAGCCAAGTCTGCTGGCAGGAGCTCCAGGAGAGCACCACACTCATGGCAACTCCAGTGGTAAATCCAGGTGGAATAATTACACGACCTTGCTGCATTTTCATTGTCCCTGTGCCCACACCAAGATCTGCTTGTTAGTCCTGGTTGGATGTGCCACTCACACGATAGCATCTCTTCCCTAGTCGAGCATGACTTCCCTTGTAGGAGAGTCAGAGCAATTACTTGTAGAAGCAGCCCTCGCCATCTCCCGATAGCCTTCGCTCTGCTCCTGCATTTTCAGACACTTCCCATGTGTTGCCCAGGCAGAAAAGTCATTTACTAAAGCCAGTCGATAAGACAC